GGTTATATGAAACGTTACAGGTTGGGGGGAAAGCAGCGTGGACCAACAAACACAGGAAAGCCAGTCACCTTGTCGTAGGATTTGGCGGACAGGTCCTGGAAGTCGGAGAGCCATGGGTGAGACTCTGCGTCCCGCTTTGCCATCTCCTCCCACTCTTCCTGCAGCTTGTCCCAGAAATCCGTATCTGCCTGCACAGGACACAGAGAGCCGGTGACACCTCAATACAATCCATTTTATTTCATTCTTCTCATCATATCAGCGATTGGATCATTCAGTTATAGAGAGTCTAGTAGGCCCATCCTGCTGACTTTCTAGAAGCCCAGCCTGTTGCTTATACCCCCCAAGGCAGCACGTCATCACATAGGCTGGACTCCTGGAGGAATGCTTCCCCACCCTGCCGGAGCTGGAGGGAGAAGAAGAATCTCCTGCAACATCACTGGAAAATCTAAAAGGCTGCAAGAAATAAAGTATGTATCATTTTTTTATAATAAAACATACCTAGCGGGAGAGGGGGCTTTGGGGGCAGCAAGTTAAATGTCCCGAATTCTGCTTTAAAGGGTAATTTGGGGAAATGGAATTAACCCCACCAAGCTGCCCCCGCTCTTACCTGTCCAGAATTGCTCTTCCCCCTCCATGGCTCCCGGTGTACTCTCCATACACAGGATTGAAGCCCTGCTGTATGCATTTTGAATCTTGCTCCCAAATGGCAAGCACTCATTGGTCAGCGTGGTCACGTGACCAAGGAAAACTCGTCATTTGCAAGAGAAACTTACAATACATACAGCAGTGCTTCAATCCTGTGACAGAGACTTCCTCTCACTTCCTGTTTCTCTGCAAAATGGGACACAGACCACCCAAAAACTGGGTTTCTAACCAATCCCTCACCTTGTCCAAAAAAAATAGAAATAAAGTGTTGCACATGGATGCATTCTGGATACACACTGGAAAGGTTACACTACGCTGATCCCTTGCAAAAGTTAGAAGACATTAAAGAGACCCAAAAAAAAAAATAAGCCTGACCTTTACCTCCACTGCAGCCTTGGCGTTCTGAAAGTCTTTCTCCAGGGGGGTGAACTCATCAACCCATCGCTCCGCCGCTGCCTGCAAAGAGCACAAGACGGCTTTGTACAAGAACGTACGTTTCCAATAAAATAACCACAAGCAGGAAGGAAGTGGAAAGGATGGTGGGCTTTACTATACAGCAGAGACACTGCCGCTCATCACTTCCATATTGTGAAACTTTATTGGGATTTGACATTTCCAGAAAGAGTGGAAAAAAGACGGCCGTACGTTAGCCGATGCAGAACGGAGGCCCGACGTTGCAAGCCGTCACCAAAAGCAGCTCTAAAGACCAAAAAGACAACACGGGGCTGATTTATGAGACGTCTGCCGAGCCATACAACGGGCCAAGATAGAGCCGTGGAGTACAGGAAATCCTATGCTCCTTCTAGTGGTGGGAATGCCGTGTGAAAAACATTTGTCAGGCATATGGCTGGGTGGCGGATTTATAAAGCAACCCCTGAAGTATGAGGTGTAACCAGCATACAGTAGAAGAACATTGTAAAGTGAATAAGAAGAACATCAAAAGAGGCAACGTGTTCATAATCAATGGAAAACAAATGGAGAAAGGAACAATACACTGTATGGCCCGAAGGTTGGTGGACACCTGATCACCACACCAATATAACTTTGCTGGAGATCCCATTCCCAGACCACGGGCACTAATATGGAGTTGGACACCTATAATGGCCACCAACCTTCTAGGAAGATTTTCTACATGATTTTGGGATGTGTCTGAGGGAATTGTTGCCCATTCAGACAAAAGAGCATGTGTGAGGTCAGGTACTGATGTTGGATGAGAAGACCTGGCTTGCTATAGGCATTCTAAGTCATCCCAAAGGTCTTCAGTAGGGTTGAGGTCAGGGCTCTGTGTAGGTCACTTGGGTTCCTCCACACCAAATTGGTCAAACAACATGTATATGAAGATTGTTCCCCGCGTACAAAACTTTCATGGTGGAACAGGAAAGGGACTTCACCAAACTGTTGCCACAAGGTTGGATTTATACCAGGGGAGGCCAATAAGTTCTTACCCACACCATGATCTAGATGTGCTAGGGATCGGAAATGTTGCAGGTTTATAGGTGGATATCTTAGTAATATGCATGCCAATGTTTGTGTTTTTGTAGGTGGTTGTGAATTATAGTTAGAGCCAAGAGAATTGGAGAAGGTGTCATGCCGGACAAAGTTGAATACTGAGCCACGATTAGCTTCCTCCATCTTCAAGGGAAATCTGCCCGAATAATCCATGAAGAGATGTCAGCTGTGTATGGAGAGGATTGTCCATCATATGAGATTGTCAAACGATGGAAGAAAGAATTCAAGCGTGGTCGCTCAAATATACAGGATGACCCGAGGGAAGTTCGTCCGTCAACTGCCACAGAACCAACTGTGGTGGCGAAGGTTGAGCTCGGCATTCAACTTTGTCCGGCATGACGCCTACTCCAGTTCTCTTGGCTCTAACTATAATTCACCACGACCTACAAAAACTAAAATTGGCATGCATATTACGAAGATATCCACCTATAAACCTGCACAATTACAGATCCCTAGCACACCTAGATCATGGTGAGGGTAAGAACTCATTGGCCTCCCCTCGTATACTTAGAAATTGGATTCATATACTTTATGGCTTTTGAGGAACATATGAAAGTGAAGACCACTTGGGCAAAAAACTCACCAAACCATGTCCTTACGGGGAGCCAAAAGAAATCTCACCGCTCCAATTCCTTAGCCGCCATCACGACTCCCCAGGTGCTGGTCTTATAGGTGCGTCTCAACCTTGGAATGTACTGGTATACGAACAGACCGCACTATTCAGAGAATTCCAATACTCTGAGGTCTCTATTGACATCTACGAAGAAGCCTACGGGTGAAACACGTGAGTGGTTGTAGCTGGTTGGGGGATTGCGGTTCTGGTATTTGTTGTTTTATACACTGTTGCACTGGAATTGCTGCGAATTATAATAAAGTCTGAAGTATTGGAATTCTCTGGATAGTGCGGTCTGCTCGTATACTACTACCGTACACGTCTTATGGAGTTAGCACAGGGGAACAGTCTTCATGGAACCTTCACCAAACTGTCCCCACAATCGTCTGAAATGTCTTTGTATGGTGCGGCATTACCAGAACCCTTCACTGGAAACACCTGAACGCCATTATAAGAAGGGTAGACCTTTGGTGTTGGAGAGCCGGTCCAGTGTCAACAAGCTTTTGGCCATACAGTGTACTCCGCCGGTTAATTATTGCTCAGCAAACCATGAGTAGAAGTCATACCGGGTGAAAATTCATGATTCCTAGATCCAAAAATGTTTTATCCATGAAGTCTGCAAATATCAGACATCTGCAACAATTACGCGAGGGGCAGGTTGTTACAAGAGTTGGGCCCGACTCAGAGGTAGGACAAGTTCCCGACAGCTGCTCCATCATGTTACAAGGTACCACACGAAGGCCAGCACCAAGTCATACCCATGTTTTACTGAGCGGCACATGACAAACGTACAAGACACTGCATGCGCTTGTGATGGCAGCACATGTACATACAAGACACTGCATGCGCTTGTGATGGCAGCACATGAAGGACGTACAAGACACTGCATGCGCTTGTGATGGCAGCACATGTACATACAAGACACTGCATGCGCTTGTGATGGCAGCACATGAAGGACGTACAAGACACTGCATGCGCTTGTGATGGCAGCACATGAAGGACATACAAGACACTGCATGCGCTTGTGATGGCAGCCCATGTACATACAGTGTCATCTTACATACATGACCGCACGGGTCACACAAAAGATCCTTTAATAACGTTCACAAATATCGGAGGCCTGACCAGATTCAATGCCTTTTGGCCGGGACTGGGAGAGATGAAGCTACAAAGGTCTTCGGAGTGACGGAGCAGATGGCCAAATACTCGTCATACTTCTAATTGCACACGGACGTGATCAGCGGGAATTGTCATTTTTGGAAATCCACCTGCCCATTGTGGCTTCTCTACGGTTTATAGATTTCTCCACTGCACAGCCTAGAGACCTCAGTAGGTTCTGACCCAGCACCGGTAGGGTTTGGAACGAGGTTTGGAAAAACCCTAAAAACAGCTTTTTATGCCCCAACAGCTGACTCGAACCTACACTCACCTGAACACTTCCCCATCATTTGAACCCTTAAAATGAAAGTGTATCTAAACCCCAAGAACACAATGTAGCCCAGCGCTCAGACTGTGTGGCGGCAGCATTATGGAAAAGATAAGCATTTTGTTATGTCAATGGAATACAGCAGGGGTGGGCAAATTCCG